CTTTCTCTCTTTTTCCCTTCCTTCCTTCCTTCCTTCCTTTCTCTCTCCTTTTCTTCCTTCCTTCCTTCCCTCCCTCCCTCCTTTTTCTCTTTCTTTCTTTTTTTCTTTCTTTCTCTTTCTCTCTTTCTTTCTCTTCCTTCCTTCCTTTCTCTCTCTCTCTCCTTTTCTTTTCTTCCTTCCTTCCCTCCCTCTCTCTTTTCTTTTTTCTTTTCTTTTCTTTTTTCTTTTCTTTTCTTTTCTTTTCTTTCTCAAACATCAAGGCCCAGCTCTGATGACTCCTCTGCTACATTGTGGCCCTTCCTCTTGGATTATAGTAGTTTCCGCATCTACCTTGCCCTCTTCCCTGTGTATACACTATTCAGGGCAACATCCAGGAGCAGCTTTTTATCTTTACCCTGTGCCCGGAGGATGCAGGGAGACTGCCTGCTGGATTTCTCACCTTCTGAGAATCTGCTCTCAGAACCTGTATCTGTGGGCTTCTTCCTGCCTTAGTTTACCTCCTAGCTTTCTGACTTAGGTACTAACGGTCCCCTGACACTTAGATTATAATAATAACAAGCATAGCATTCACTACGTACCAAACACTGTTCCAGATTTATTTAATCATCACAATAACCCTTTTTTTTTAATTTTTAATTTTTCTAAGTTTACTTATTTTGAGAGAGACAGACAGCATAAGCAGGGGAGGGGCATAAAGAGAGGGAGACACAGAATCTGAAGCAGGCTCCAGGCTCTGAGTTGTCAGCACAGAGCCTAATGCAGGGCTTGAACTCATAAACCGCGAGATTGTAACCTCAGCCAAAGTCCAACGCTTAACCAACTGAGCCACCCAGGCACCCCACACAATAACCTTTTGAAGTGAGCATATTATCATTCTCATTTTACAGGTGAAGAAACTGAGACACAGCCAGGAACAGCAGGGATGCACCCCAAGGCCTCATCAGTCCTGCCCCATGCCTCCTGCCTCCATCCAGCCTTCTCTCTCTGTCAGCCCCACCCCCTTCCATCACCTGAATTCCTCACCCAGGTTTGACCTTCTCCCACTCCCTGCTCCTTAAAAACTCACGAGTCCCAGGTCGCACACCCTTAGATCCTGCTCGCTAGAGAACAAATTGGTGAATCCCTGACCACAGGGACCAGGTGGGCCAGAAGGAAGCAGCCAGAGTCTTTGAAGGTCTGCACATAGCTCTGCTCAGCAGCCCTCTGTCTGCAGGCACCGAGGCCTCAGGTCACTCCCTGGGCCCCACGCTGTGTTACAGATGCACTTGTGTAAGCAAACGCCTTCATTTTCCTTGGACGATGTATGCTGGGATGGGGGCAAGGGAGGCAGAAATGCTACCCAGACTCTCTCCTATCATCTCCCTCTTCCCAGTTCTCCTTAGGCCCCAAGAATCTTCCCATCTAAAAGCAAATCGCAGATAGAGAGGGTGTTAAACTGAAACTAGCTTAAGCAAAAAGAAATGGTAAAGTAGACCTCTTGCCACTGTGGAGCACAGAATGACACATTCCAAAGTGAGACAGAAATGAGATGTCAGTGCCTGGCTGTTTTGCACCGTCTGCGTTGCTGTCCCTTTGGCACACAGTAGGTGCTCAGTAAAATATGCTGAACTACAGCAGAAAATGTAGCTCTGAGACAAACCACAGGGGACTCTTAAATACAGGGAACAAACTGAGGGTTGCTGGAGGGGAGGTGGGGGGGATGGGCTAAATGGGTGACGGGCATTGAGGAGGGCCCTTGTTGGGATGAGCACTGGGTGTCGTATGTAAGCGATGAATCATTCGCTGCCCCCGAAACCAAGAGCACACTGTATACACAGTGTGTTAGCCAGCTTGACAATAAATTATATTAAAATAATAATAATAATAATAATAATAATAAAAAGCAGGGGACTTGCTGGGATGAGTGTTATATGTAAGTGTCATGTGTAAGTGGTAAATCACTGGGTTCTGTTCCTGAAACCAATACGACACTGTATGTTAACTAACTTGGATATAAATAAATAAACAAACAAACAAACAAATATCACAGAAACAAAGAAAGAAACAAAGAAAGAAACAAAGAAAGAAAGCTAGCTTAGCTCTGCCTAACAACAACAAATAACAAACACTGTCAAGCATTCCCACTTGACTTTGGGCTGGGCCATGGGAGGCAGAAATTAAAGTGAGTCAGTTCCCAGACGAGGTCTTAGGCTACTCGGTTCATTCCTGCTTGTTCATTTGCACCTCTGCCATCCCTGTGAGAAGTATCTCACTCAGGCTAGCCCAGCGATTCCAGGAAAAGGGTGCAGGGCATTTGGTGCGAAGCTGGCCTAGCCAAACCCAGCTGAGATCAGCGATCCCCGGGATGCAGGAGCAAGCCCAGGGAGACCAGCAGAGCCACTTGGTCGGGCTTAGTTTAAGTCAGCTGATGCCAGACACGGGAGCTACATAATTATTGGGTGTCACTCAGATTTGGGGAGGGGGTATTTGTTACACGGCATTATTATAGCAATTGATCACCGACTTGGTCTAGCTCTTAAAGGACGGACAGTCAGGGAGGATTAGGAACAGTTTCACAGGGTGATTAGACAAAGACACAAGGAGAGGGAGGCTGGGGATCGGTGGGGACTCGTGGTTTCTGGGGTAGGAACCTGATTGCTGCCTTCTGAAGGGCTCATGAGGAAGCCCCAAGGTGACACAGGGCGAGACCTGTGCTTCGCCTGTCAGGGAACAGGGTGGCCCAGCCAGCAGGTCATGACCTGAGCCACGCATCAAGCCTTAGAGCTGTGCTGTCGTGCCTCGTCAGGACACAGAATGGCAGACACGGGCAGCAGACCTACAGACAGACCCTGAGCATCGATTCTGGGCTCCACATAGGATCTGTGTGGCCACAAAGCCTCCACAGCACAAGGGCCCTCCTGTACCTCATTTTCTTTCCTCCTAATTGCCCGGGCTTATGACTACTACCCTCTCCCTCCCAGACAATTGAACACTTGGGTCAAAGGAGTAGCAATTTTGTTATCAGGGAAAGGTAACTTCTTTGGGTTTTATTTTTATGAAAGACCTTAGAGATCAAGTAGTCTATCAGTCTCCAAACTTTATTTTTCTGGAGTGAATCCCAACTTTTTTTTTTTTTTTTTTTTTTTTT